AACGATCTGGCGTAGATCTATGTTCCGACAGCCAACGGAAACACAATTTGACGCGCAGATCTACGTTCCGACGAACCAAAGGCTAATTTCATTAAGATTTGTTGATGTATTACGTTCATTTTTGGATTTGAATTTCTCTTTTAGAGGTAGTTTCATGATTTTTTTCTATCGAGAATATGTTTTGAAAACAATGCTCCATTGGAATGTAAGATCAAGATTAACATTTTTTTTTGCTGCTATAAAATGTATAGATTTTGCTAAAAAATCTTTTGAAAAACCTATTTTTACCGCATACAGCGCCTTAAAGGCGAGCGCCCGTACACGTCTCGTTTTATCATTTATTTAACTATAAATAACGCATTATCATTATCATCATCGAATTACGTGTGAAAGATTTATTTATGTCTAGTTATTCTACATGTATTGAAAAATGTATTGACGTCAGTGATAATCAATCTATGTAGATCTGTCACGTCACCGACAATTGCACAATCATGTTCGTTGTTCGTGAACTACCTTTTGCACGAGGTAAATAAAACAGCTACTTGTTTTGTTATTATGCCATTGTTGTGTAAACAAATGGAGGAGAAATATTTACACGCACAAATTGAATTTCAAACTTATGCTTTATATAATATGTCGGTCTTTTTGATATTTTTATAATACATTTTTATTTACCCATGTACTTTATTCGTAGTCATAAACTGAGTTTTATGAAAATATCTTTTTCCTTTTACCATATCGAGCACAGGTACCATTTAAAATTTTAAACAGATTCCTTTTTGGTCAGTTCTTTGTCGTGAAAACAAACAAATAAGCTTAACAGAAAAATTATTGTGAGAGTGGCAAGATTGAATATAATGTGATTTTTCATATCTAATCATAAACGATAAGAATTTTGATTTGGATATACTTATATCTCGACTTTCTACCATTTTCTTTATATTAAAAGTATCTCTGAGAAATAGTAGCGTACCAATCACTTAAATAAACTTCTATTTATAAATTTTTATATTTTGATTTTATTAATTATTGAATAATTTGCCTTAATACCATGAATACTCAAAATTCGTGTACGAATGAAACTATTTCCGAATGAAAAATGGTAAGTCCTATCTAATAAACTATCGCTAAAAGCTGTCTTTTGTTGTTTTTATTAAAGTTGCTTTATTGTGAAAATTTTTCATTGTAATTATGTTTTTTCATACTATAATGTTTCATTATTATTAAAAGTGTAATATATATATAGTATATTTATCGAAAAGAGTATGCATACAAATCATTTATAAATAGGGTTTCATATATCGTAAATAATAGGCACATTAGTTCGGGGCCTAATATTTTTGATAATTCTGTCAAATTCCTCAAATATTGGTACCAATTGTACAATAAGAAATTCTAAGTAACAAACTAGCAAAATTTCCAATGTTTATAAATCCTTGTTATGTGTAGTTAATTTCCGGAGTTATAAACATTTGGATTAAACATATAAATTAAATACCATAACATCGATTACAAAATACGCACGATGTTTAAGATTCTCAAATATTTGCCTTGGCCGGGCCGATCCATTCTTGTATGATGATTCGAGTAATACGGATAATGACGGATTCCGATAAGTCTGAACATTGCGTTGAATCATCATCATCCGCGAATGAAAGTAACTTGTAAAATTCATCACACAAAACAATACCTACCTATGATACAGCATTAAATGGAAGTCTTTCGAATGTAATTTGACCGACCCGACTCTTTTTTTTTTACTTTTATAATATTATGCTTCATTGAAATCTAGATCACGCAATATTAGTGTCGTTTAAAAGAACATTTATCTAAGGTCATTCGAAAATTGTTATGAATACACGTCATAATATACTTATCAATGTTATTTGTCCTCAGTAACACGCTATAGTAACAATATCAATATTATTAGATACGCCACGATTACAAGCTCTCCCCCGCGCAGAACAGGTTATCTCGCTTGTGTATAAAAACAATTATCGTTCGCTTGATTCGTTTTTAAAAAAATATTTTGTGAAATTTTTGATTGAATGAAGAGCTTCTCATGAAGAGGAGGGTTGCAGTTAAACATCTGACATACGAAATGCAACAGTTTGAATCTATTTCACGCTGGTTCTAGCTTTTCGCCCGCGGCTTCGCTCGCGATGAAGCGCGATTATATATCTTTCAACCCTTTATAACATTTTTCCAATTAAAAATAGCCTATGCCCTTCCTCAGGTTCTAGACTATCTGGGTACCAAATTTCATTTAAATCGGTTCAGAAGTTTTGCAATGAAAGCGAGACAGACAGACAGACAGAGATACTTTCGCATTTATAATATTACTATAATATAATATGGTAACTTTCAGTCCAATCTATCTCGGATAGTCGATATTGAAGAACAGTTCGAATTTAAGATGCACTTTACTTTTTTTTAGAAAATTTTGTATTACACATTGTTTTGTTTTACAAAGTCGTATATGTAACAGAGGAACCTGGATAAGCGAGAAAATTTCAGAAGTGAGAGTAACTGTCTTTTAATTGCCCTAAAACCAGTGGAAGTATAATACTTTCACGTTTCATCTGGTGAGTGAGGTAGCCGGAGCCAATTTTTAAAAGGTTTGTCAACGCATCTGAAACCCTCTGGTGTAACAGATGTCCATGGGCGGCGGTATTCACTTAAAATCAGGTGAACCGTCTGCTCGCTTGGCAACTTTTCACATAAAAAAAATAACGGAGAAACGGTAAGTTCTAAAAAAAAGTAGTTTTTCATTCGAGGGCCTATGTAAGCGAGGCTGCTTTTTGCCTGTAGTTCTATAAGCACACAGTTTTTCGACGACTCTGTCAGGATTCAAACCTGCGCCTTCTGGCTGACGCGTCCAGATACTATCTACTAAGCTAGGCGGCCGTCATCCTCTTCTCGCGAGAATCTCGACGTTCTTATCTACATTGTTTTTATTGCATTTTTAGCAATGCTTGGCGTCATCTAATATGTTTCTTTTACGGAACCCATTCATCCTCAAAGACATCTTTTTACAATAAGTATTTTGAAAACTAGTTATGTCGCCGTTGCTGTCGAATCTTAATTATAAAAATTTTTCGACAGTTTTATACACATTGTTTAATTTTAATTTCAAATGCAGAGACTAGTATTTAAAATTACAAATTAGATGTAAGCACCTATGTCAAATTCGTATGTCTAATACATATATAATAAATACATGATTTTCGTTTCATATCTGCTGGAGTTCCCCTTAATTGGAAAGACTGAAACTAAGCTAGAAACACGGGTTAGTAAGAAACCTTTTTGAGTGGAAAAAATACCGCGAAGTTTTGCTTATCCAGATACCACTGTATATGAATTTGTTCATGAAAAAAAAAATGTTATCGTACACATCCGTTTACATCGCATCATATTGAAAGATTACGAACAGAATAAGATAAATCGTTTACATAATATGAAAAATAATGTATTATTCCATAAGGTTTCTTGAAGGCTTGAAATATTGTTGACACATTTCTGAGTTACGATGTTATATTGCTTTAAGTCAATTTATAGGGTTTAGTTTCAACTTACTTTACCCATATTTACTGGCTGATGTTTCCTACGGTGCTGTGTAAAAGCACTTGATATAAGAATCACCCATTTTGGATGCGTAATAATAATTGTGTAAAATATCAAAAAAGTACAACTGTGATGGAGGCACGCAATAAATTCTATTATTGCTGGCTCGTCAAGGAAAGTACGTCCCCACAAAAAACCGGCGAAAATACTTCCAGTATTTGTGCTTCTGCTTTTCGTCACAGAAGTAGAGGAACCGGGGTTTACTGTTTTAAATTTTGGAAAGGCAACCCCCACGTGCGTTGTGGTTGTGCTGTAAGCACTTATCTTCTGGTGTACTGTCTGCTTGCTTATCATCATCGCCTATAATTAACAAAGTAGTTCTTGGCCATTACATTCCATTATTCCGAACTTTCACAGACGATGTGATGTGTTTCTGTTGCCATCATAACATCAAATACTAAAAAATAGAATAAAATAAATATTTAAGAGAGCTCCTATACAACAACTACATAAAAAGTTATTGAACATAATGGTACAGAACCCTTCGTGCACGAGTCCGACTCGCACTTGGCCAGTATTTTTCAAATAACGACCTTATTTTCACACGCAACTATCTTCTTATTAAGCGATTGTATGCGCCGTCACAGTGTGGGTGTATCGCAAACTTAGGGGACCGCCCGTGGAGAACGGAATCTTTAAATGCTTCTATATTTAAATTACGCAATGCATTATTATGTTTATTCTTGCAATTGCTGGGAACGCAGTACTTCGGGACACGCTGCCAAATTATATTTAGAACGCGTTCACCTCACAAGACTCGTTATTTCTGAATCATAGTATGCTCTTATTATATGCAAAGACTTCAGCGCCTTTACTACACCACTCCCTGCTCTCGTTCTCAGCATCTTTTGATACCACAAGGAGGTTTCCCAATGCCTTTGAGTTGCCTTTGACCTTTCCGCACATAATTTCGGTCGCATCGAATCTGCCGGGGGCTTGTACTGGTGCAGCACTCCCATTGGCGTTCAGCCGTTGACGTCACACCGTGTTATTTTCAAACGCGACTCCGCAGCTCGTAATATTATGCTGATAACAACTCAGCTCAACAATTATCTATGTCGTATAAATATCGAACACTACCATACAACATTTTCAGTTAGCTCTAACATTTTGCTAACAACGCCACTGATAAGGCCCACTTCTAAGATTTTGCTTTGTTATACCTTTGTACTCGATTATTACCTATAATGATGAAAAGGAGGAAAGCTTTAGTTCAGTTTAACAATTTATTCTCGTAAGTTACTTTTCAGTTTGTTCACATAGTTTTTGTACAATATTTTTGATGTATGTTTCGTTGACGAATTTGATTACACATAATTTTAGTCGTAGTTATTGCTCTTCCTTTAATGATAGCTGTATTACTTTGTCCCCAGGGAGTTTGAACCGTTCGCTGCGTCACCACCGGCACCCGAGGACTCTTTCTTCTACATACGCTATCCGAAATCGGACGTGTTGTTCGGCAAGCCAAAAACGGTCGGCGAAATACCAAATCTTATGACCGACCAACAAAAGGAACTTGCCGTGAAAGTAGCTTACAACAGTATTAAAGAGAAGGACTGGTCCAAGCACACTAAACCATGTCAAGACGTTTTGCATGGCATTGCACCCAGTAACACAACAGGTGAGAACGTATGAAAGATTTCTATTGCCTCATGAATCCTTTATGAATTGCTATTTATTTGGTAAACAAAAGCCTCGGTGTCTCGGAAAAAATCGAAAGTGGAAAAAAAGTGGAAAATCAAACACAAATCTTTCGATTTTCTGAGACGTGCAAGCATTTGGGTTACACTTTGATTTGAAATGGCCACTTTAACCACGGCTTCACCAGTTTGGGGCCTTTCGAAATAAATAATGAATTATTATTTAATAATTACTAGCGACCGGCCACAGCTTCGCACGGGTAAAATGTATTATACATATAAACCTTCCTCTTGAATGACTCTATCTAGTAAAATAAAACCGCATCAAGATCCGATGCGTAGTTTTAACGATCTAAGCATACATAGCGACAGACAGACAGCGGAACTCTGTTTTATACTATGTAGTGTTCTTATGTGTTTATTAATGTAGGGTTTAATATTTTGTCGTCCCAAGCTAAATCCATTCATCTAACAGTATAGAACAAAAAGTCACAATTTACATATTGCTCGCCCTGGTGTTTTATGTTTTATGTACAATGCAAGAACGAAATTTCCACACCACAATAACATTTTATAGAAATTCTTCGATTTCGTTGAATAACGATACACATTATCAAATATAACCGATGTAACACAGAAATTACTTTACTTTAAAATAATGAAAAAAAAAAAATACAGAATGGGAACAAGTAATACAAACATATAATCACACAAATTTATTCTGTTCATAATATTAATAAATAATATAAAAAAAAAACCTTTCAATTGAGCTCATTTCTTATTGTAAAGTAGAAGTAAAGTAGATTCTTTATTTGATTATTTATTCGATACTGATGGGATCATCTGTTTATTTTTCTGATTATTTATTACTCGAAATAGGAAGTGGTTATAGTAGCCGTTTCTATTATTTCTATCGTTTCCTTAAGATTGATAATATGGTATTAGATTTTCATAGTTTTAGACTGTCTTTATTTCGAATTGTTACTTGAATTCATCGGTGTATTATTACGTGTAGTTTAGTAGCATAACTAAAAAAAATACAAACATTCTATGGGTCAAATATTCACTCCACTAGTCAGGTCAGTGACATTATTGAATTGGACATGGGAAGAATCAAAGGACTGGTCTGCAAAAGTTGACGGATGTTAGGTTTGACAAGTGTTTGGGTAAATCAGGAGCTGAATAATAGTCTCTACGCTTCTGTCTACCTTCTCTCTTAATGGTTAAATACGAGAGTAATAGGTGTACAAGAACAAATAGATTTTGGTTAAATCATACATATAAACAAATATTTCTAAGCTGTGTGGACAATGCTAATCTTTGCAGGCCTTAGCCCAGCCCAGCCAAGGACTTAATAATTATATAGGCTGTGACTTTACTCTTATACGATAAAACAGTTTATATGTCGTATGTAACTTTTATGATATATGATTTACCTTATGGTCTAACGACCAAGTTGTATTAATAGAAACGATTATAAACGAACGCGAAGAACACCTGTTACGAAAACTGTGATAAGGTGGCAACACTGCAATAGACGTCAAAACTTGCTCGCGTTTATATATCATCATCGCTAGGAATATCGACAGTGCCAAAAATATCGACATATCGATGTTGATATTTTTATAAATCGTAATTTTTATAAATATAAATCGATATGTCAGGGAAAATATATCGATATATCGGATTTAGTCCTAAATTTTTTTGGACAAAGGTTGCTTTGTCAAAAAAATAAAAGGTATATCAAGTATTAAATAGGTGACACCTACGGACTCTGTGTCCGAATCGAATTTGAAAAAAATATCGTTTTTGATATATCGGCTGAAAATATCGATACATAGAATCAAAACTATCGATATATCGATACATTTTTCACATCCCTAATTAACGCCCTATTAGCAAACCGGTTAAGAGTCTACTTAATCGTTTTACGCTGGGCCCAAGTTTTGCAGTTTTATGACGGTTCATTGATAAGAACAACTAGTTGTATGCACTCCAATTAGTGCATCTATTGTTCACGTTCGAGGAGTTTCGTTTTCATTTTGTGGTTTTATATTAGAAATAACTCTTTATATACATGTTTTACATCTGCATGGTGCCTGTAAATTGTTCTGCAGTTGTAAGTCAAAGTTGCTTTTCTTTGTTTTGTGATATGTTCATATTTTATTCATAAATGATTGTCATTTATAAGTTTTTTAACAGGAAGTTATTGAGTTATTATGTGACGCTAAATGTTTAAACAAAAGCAGTTTTTAATTCATTTGAGGTTATTTCGTGCAAGTATAAAAGTAACGAGAACGTATGTAATAGAGATATTATCTTTATTACATACTTTTGTTAATAAATTAATTGATTTTGAAATCTTTATTTTATCCGTATAGTTTGCATTTGTTACGTGCTATATCTTTTTATAACAAACTTTTTAGTACAGGTTATTTATTATGTGTAATATTTGTTGTCCATTTCAAGGTCTTTATTAAATATAGCTTTCAGTTTCTCTGCGTTGTTCGGTTCCTGCTTTACAAATTCTAATAGATGTTCGGTGATTGGCGTTTAATGATTATTCGTGTTTTATAAATTTAAAACCCACAGTCGGAGTTATTTCAGCTCCATAAGAGCACTGGTGTAATAATACCGGCAAAATCGCGATTTACCTAATTTTATTGTGATTGAATTATTAGGAAGCAAATCTGCCACGACGCTATTTCATAGTTTATATTGAATTTTATATTCTTTGTCTTGCATGCGGAACTCAGGACAGTTTTTGTTTATATAATACCTTGTTACAATTTTATATCCTTAGCCGGTTCTATCGAAGAATTCTTTTATAAAGGTGTGTCGAAACTAAATGATGTCTTGTTTAATGAATACATTAAAAAAAAACAGGCGACACTCAAGTTCCGTTCTCTTTTCTCTGCAGTCAACTCGAAGCCGAAGCCGGCGGGAACGGACGATGGGCTCAAAGGCGAGGGAGCGGCATGCGGCAATTCCGTCGTCAAGGTGAGTGCATTCAGCGGCGCAGCAAGCGTTTGAAGCTGTTGAAATCCGCTTGACCTTCACACGAGCGCCGGCTAGTTCGCAATAAAACATTTCACGTTCTACGTCAATTGCCATCCGCCATTGTTTGATCGCGTCAGATTGTTAAAGGCATTCCGTAGACCAGTATGACCGAACCAATGTTGTATTGTGGATGTTTTCTAAGATTCTTCTCAGTAAGTTTTTTAAATGGAGCACGTATCGCCCACATCAATGGTATACTACGAAGAATTTTGTTTGTTTCTATAATATTACGCCCAATAGTCTTATGACTTCCGTTAGAAGTGATACTTACGAATATTTGGAAATAAATGAATAGAACGTCTTTGTTATTATGTACATCGCAGTGTGCAATGTGGGACGATAACTTACATTCGGGGTCAATTATGTTTTGTTCCACTACTCACTAAGTGATCATGCTAGGGGCCTAGTAATACTTAAATGTTGTTGCGTCATGCGGCATGTTAGTACCCCCACTGATTATGTTAAGTAAATAAATAATACCAATGCAACGGTTATTCACATTTGCCCCTGGATCTCTGTAGCCCGTCCCGAATTCTATTTCAACAAACAAGCAATAAAAATTGAAATTTTATTAAAGCAAATCCCCTTAATCAAAGCATTGCAAATGACTATCTTCTGAGCATCGAAAATTTCAAGACTCATTTACACCAAGACAATTAGGTCTTACAGTTCTTTCCGGTTTGAACGGTAAAACTTAAATAGTTGTAAAGAACAGTAACTTAACGGTTATACTTTACCGTTACACTTAATGTTAAACAATGCGTTACGATATTTTCCTGAAGAAGAAATCACCCGTGACAATGACGTCAATGTCGCAGTTGGCTTTAGTGCTGGGGGGTTTCTTCGATTCCCGATCTGGGTGTTTGTTCTCAAGTATGGATGACGTTAGACATTCTTAATAAACCTACACAATACCACTAACACTGTTCTAACCACAAACACGTCGTGTTGACCCAACATAGTGAATAACATATTTATAGTATCGAAGTTGTTTTACGTAAATGTTGTTAAAGACAACAATACACAAGTGTTCTTTGTGTTTTAAGTAATTCTAGCAAACAATATTGCGTGGATTTTATTTGCTTTTATGATAATTCTTAGTTTTGTGATAAAATTTCTTGATAGGATTGATAATATGTGAATAGAATTTTATAATGAAAGCCGATTAACGCCAGGACAATAGAATAAATCATGCTCTACAAACTATCATAGCAAGCCTTTTGAGAAACTTAAATTCATGAAATTTCTGCCCATATTCTTCCACCAAAGTTTGATCTACCTACCTCAAAAATAAATATACATTAATCTACCTCAATATAGAAACTATCAATCCACCTCATACGTCATCATGTCATGTCCTATAAATGTCATTTCTCTACGAAAGAACTTCCTGTTCCGTCTACGGTTCGAGGTCACAGCCTCTGCGTTGTCAAGTCGCTAAGCGCCTTAGATACGTCAGTGCGAAAAATAACTGGCTTTATCGATCCGTAATAGACTACGTCAGAAGGTGGACAGCGAACAGACGGTTGACATGATGTTAAGTGATTACAGCCGTCATGTATTTCGTATGACAGATAAGTTGCCAACCTTTAAAGTTATGGCCTGCACCTCACTGGGCGTGACTCGTTTTCGAATACCTCCTTTATACGTTAGTCTTCTGCTTTGCCACGGTGGTTGCGAGTCTTGTTAGGATGACGATGCTCGGAGGGTTACTTCAGTCAATTACCTCTCAGGACAGGTATCCTTGTAAAGGTTGGGATTGCATGAGTAAGAAACAGAGGATGTTTGCTTACGTCTAATACAGGTTTATACTTTTTCAGTGTTCCCTATTAAACAGTTATAACATTCCCAGTCTTCTTTACTTTTTAATAATAATACAATAAGGTAACTAGATAGTTTTTAATACTAACTGCGGCCCACTTTATTGAAAGGTGGCAACGCATTTGTAATCCTACTGGTGTTGCTAATGTCCATCGGCGGCGAATCGCCAGCTCGCTTGCTACCTTCATACTTAAAAAAAATATATAGACAATCGAACGTTTACGAGCCTCAAATCAAAGCCCGTGACTGTACCACAGCCTTGTGTTGAATTGGACGCAGCAGTACCACAGTTGTGCGGTGAATTTTACGCGGCTGTACCACAGTCGCGCGGTGAATTGGACGCGGCTGTACCATAGCCTTGTGTTGAATTGGACGCGGCAGTACCACAGTCTTGCGGTGAATTCGACGCAGCTGTACCACAGCCTTGTGTTGAATTGGACGCGGCAGTACCACAGTCTTGCGGTGAACTGGACGCGGCTGTACCACAGTCGTGCGGTGAATTTTACGCGGCTGTACCACAGTCGCGCGGTGAATTGGACGCGGCTGTACCACAGCCTTACGGTGAATTGGACGCGGCTGTACCACAGTGTTGTGTTAAATAGGGGCTTGCCGTTCGCAGGTGGCGCATCAGATGATCCAGTCGGGGCGTTCGCCGCGCGGCTTCACGGTCGCCTCGCCGGCGGAGGAGGAGGCCCAGGCGCCCGACCAGCTGCACTACAGGCTGGTGTCGCGCCGCGGCAGCAAGAGTCTGCCAGCCACGCCGGCCCATTCGCCACCCGCCAGCCCCACCGGCCGCAGGAGGATGGTCGGCAACCGGTAACTAACTGTACACCCTGTTTATGCCCTATATTAAGATATCTGAACTCCGCAAATCCGCAGTGGTGGTCGCGTGACGGATACCCTAATACCCCCTGTGCTGTACAAGAAATGATCTTAAGTCGTTTTCTGCATGTTGTGCATGTAATTCAAATGAATTAATGTTGTTATTTTCATTGTTTACGTATACAAGCTAAAGAATTTTGTTTTCCCAATACAAATAACAACAATATTTTGTTTTCTTCTAACAATCGTTGTTTTCGTATTTGTTTGTACTTCATTTATTTAAATGAAGCTGGCACAGACGATAAATTACTTGTTATTTAATAATAACTGATATCTCTTTCATGGAAACATGAGTTTTCTCTGTACATTTGTACAGTACTCTGTACTCTGTTTTGTTACATTAGTAAATATAAGAAGCAACAAAACAGGCAAAATATTATATTACATTAAAATTTTAGAATTTTCATAATAAACTCATTGCTATATTTTAATGATCCATGCCATTTAAAAGGTATATCTTTAATCGTTGAAACGTTTAGCCTCAAAATTGAATAGGTTATTTAGATTTGTTTAATCAGATTGTTTTTATTGTGGGTGTTTTGTTTTCCGTCTTAATGGGTACAGGTTTTGTATAAGTGTGTTATTGTCAATATTGTTTTTGCTGTTAAGATAGTAATTATCATAAAGTATAATATCGAACTGTTGGACCTCATTTTCCGTATAAACACAACATTAACATGTTTTGAATTAACTCTAGAACTAATTGCGATTGTAAGTAATAGAAGTATCCCTAATAAAAATGATATTAAATAAAACTGTGTAAAGTTGTACTGCATTTTGCAATTCTCACTCACATTAGGACTTGAAATGTCTATCCTGTAAAGCCTACTACCTAAATAATAAACTCTGTAAAGTGTTCAAAACAAAATAGAACGTAATTAAATCTGTAAAACAGTGATTTAAACATGTCTAGTATTCATGTATATATGAAATACATGAATACTAGACTTATATAGATGAAAGATAACAGAATCATTCGTTACTATAGTAGCATTGTACAAACTGCTTTAAACGAAACTCTTGAACATAGGCGGCCCGAGTTCTCGTTTGCCCCATTTACTACAAAAAAAAAAAAAACTAAATTATGATGGACAGACGCACAGAGCAACAATATATTAGGGTGGTTCCACACTGGTGAAATTTTTTGTATACCGCTAAATCACCGTGCCACCAATGCGTGTTACCGAGTATGTGATTTTTTTAGTCAAGGAAAGAATTATCACAATTTTGTTATATCGTGACAATTGTCTTCGTAAGAAGAAAAGAAGGCAACTGGCGAATTTTGAATTGAGACCGGGGTCTGCGTGCAGTCAGCATTCAAGATTGTTGTCATGATCCATTTTAATTCATTTTCTTCGGAAGGAATTTCGCTTTTATTCGCGTGACAAATGACATTTGCATTTGCGGCACGCGTCAGTTAAATTAAATAATAAACAAATATTTTCGGACACAATTTTTACACAACGTTCCCTAGTCCCAAACTAAGCAACGCTTGTACTATGGGTACTAGAAAACTGAACGACCACGAACTCTGGGAAATATTTAACCATTTCTTTTATAACTATGCATGTGTTCACTCGGTGTTATTATTTAACGTCGAGAAGCTTTTGAATTGGAATTTCTAATTATAACAAAAGATTTCATTCGTCCCATCCACCGGGATTAGAAGTCAGGTTACTCTAGTATAGAAGAATTATTAACCCATAGGCGTAGTGGATAGCGAACCTGCCTCTAGGCCGCCATAAGGTGTGGGTTCGATCCGCACTACTGGGAAAACATTGTGTGATAGACAGTATTTTTCTAGTGTATGGGTGTTTATGTACCTTGTGATATGTATTTATTTATAAAAGAAAAGTATTTTTACCAGTTACCGAGTAACCATAGCACAGGCTTTGTTTATTTTGGGAACAGATAACGTTGTATAAAAAAACTTGTCCTGAATTATTTGTTTGCAGTGCGTAATGAACGACAATAGTCAGGCAATACATTGTCCTCGTTCTACAATTACTTGAGAAATTATAAATACCAACGTCATTCGCTTAATTGTCGAGGTCGGCGGCAAAAGAAAGTAACATTAGGAATATTTGCATGTTTGTTGTTAAATTATACGAAAAAGTAGTTTAAAGATATTTATAGAAGTTTTCCTATGTTATACCTCAGGTTCCTCGTTACAGACGACCTTTGTTCAGCAGTAGCATGTACTTAGAAGATACTCCAAACTCTAAGTACACTGAAGTGCATTTACGGTTAGATTCAATGATCTTTTAATAAAGATGAGGCATGTCCATACAGCGCGACGTTTGGAAATTGTTCTGCTTTACAATTATATGACATCATATAAGTAAATGTGACAGATGATATAGAACGTATGTACGGAATGAGATAGCAGTAGAGTTGCATTGTAATTACATCAATTGGCGTAGTTTGTGTGCTTCAGTTTTGGTGCTCAAGTGTCGTATCTACCTCTTATTTGTATATAATACAATTGATTAGGTTTATAACGACCATAATCAATCACAAAAATGAGCATTGCTGGGTATTAGCTGTCGCTATACATAGAGGTCTGTGCGGCTTCCCCGTCTAAGACATAGTCGCCAATGCAGCCTAAGCCATAGTGTGGCGCTGTTGGAATGTAAGCTTATAGGTATATATTACACATTATGAACAACTTAATGCATATAGGAAGTGATTTCTTAAATGCATTAAGTTTGTTCATAATGTGTAATCTCCAGCCCCAGTGGCATGGTATACATGTTTACTTATAGGCAGCATTGGCACTTAATTACACATGCATTAATTACATACAACAATAGCATTTAATCTGATATATAAGATGATAAACAGATTTTATGAAATAGAAACAAATTTAATTAACGCGTGAACGAATAATGGAAAGATAACAAGTATTATTTATAGGAGGAGTACATCTAAATAATAAATTACCAAATGATAATACTATAATAGCATAAATACGTATGAAAATAAGAAGAAAGAGAATAAGTAATGAGCTTATGCAACATTTAACTTAATCTCAGGTGCCAAAATATAATGGCGACAAATTTAATAGTATTTTTATTAATGACAATCTGTCAATTTAAGTGTTATATTAGCAAAAACTTCTTCAAAGCTATAAATCTATTCAATTTTGTCGACAGCTACTTCACGTCGCCATTCGAGCCTGTGGAGGATTCTAACAACCGCTCCTGGCTGACGATGGCCTTGCTCGGCTTCAAGAAGGACCTGACCACCTCCACTTCGACCCTCGCCGAAGAGGACGCTGAGCACCTCGAAACCAGGCTGCACGGTGAGAACCTTAACGTGTATCGCTTTTTGGTACATTAAAACATTTCAGGTACATTAAAACATTTCAGGTCACTGACCTCTGGCTTCAGCTGATGTTAATCGATTGCTACAGCCCATGGACATCTACGACACATAAGGGGTTGCAAACGCGTTGTCGATATTTAAAAAAGACCGGTTCCTTGATGCCTCACTCACCAGACGAATCGCGAAATTATAATATTTCCACGTCACGCCTTCTGTGCGGCTGTAAGGATTCTCCGGACGAGCTTGTCCATTCATACAACAGGCTGTTGCGTGTTCCTACCACGGACAAAAATATTATAATATTGGTTGTAATATTATTGGTATATTGGAAAGTACGAAAAATACAAATACGAATAAAGTACGAAAAATAAAGTACGAAAAATACAATACAGTAATGTACGAAAAATCTCAACTTAAAATGTATGATCGATGATAAGGTTCTCCAACTCTCACAAGTTTTGAGACTTAATAATGCGGAATATACTCACGTAGAGTTTATGTATATATGATTGAATTTAGTGAACTATTGACGAATATTTGTTCATTGCAGGTACCCTGGCGGAGTCCGTGGAAAACTTGGGTCCGTCCCCAAAGGGCAAAGAGCCTAAACTCGTTTCGAATGAAACGAGCGCCCAGCAGCCCAAAGTCAAACCTGGCCAGAACTTCCGCCCCAAACCCTCAGAGTTCCGGGAAATGAACTTTTGGTCGCCGACCTCCATGTGAGGAGTCCAACCCTGGCTGATGCAGTTGACATTATTGTATTCAACACGCAAATTGCGTATACTCTAATGATATCAATCATTCTGTTATCAGTATTTCTGTAATGCCAGATTTTGTTTCAAAACTGATCTTTAAGGCAATAGGCGTAAAGACTACTTAGCAATTATCTATGTGTAAACAATTCTCCTTTGAGTTTAGCTTCGTTTTATTGATACGGGCGACTTTATAAACCGAAGAGGTCGTTTTTCTATTAATTCACCTTCACTACGACATAAGATAATGTATCTCTATAGATAAGGCACGAAACATTTACGGTAACATTGACAATATCTGAGCGATACAATTTTGAATGCACCCATCTGTGTAGCTGTGAGTTTGACCCGGAAGTCTTAAATCCTTCTCAGTTATTATCTATATTCCATTATATTAAGAATGTTCATGTGTGGATGTTTTTTTGGTATAAAAATCTTTTCAGTATCATTATTTATAAGAGAACTCTTTCATTAGTAAAAATATTTAGTTTCAAATGATTCATTCTAATTCATTCTAATGTCGTATCTACGGAATATTTTGTGATTTTGAATTAAAAAATGATATTATATTATATAAATGATGTCTATCATGTTATTGGTTCATGATTTGTAACACGATTTTCGATAGTGTAGCTATTTTTATCTGTTGCCTGATTAATTCCCTACAAGCAGTGTTTTTTTTTTTAATAATAAGTACACTGTTATTTAAGGTAATATGGTGCACAGTAAGAATTAGTTATTTTGTAATTTCTTAAATATTATTTTATAGTACTTTATGGAATTTTAATTTTATTATGAGCAGAAAGTATGACGCATGTAAGTATATATATATATGATATTTATATTGATTTAGTATTTATTCGATAAATTTAACTAAAATATAAATAACATGTCACACTATGTATTATTAAAATAAATCTTTGTATTTATATAACCTTGGGTATTATTAAATTACGTTTTTTTCAATTTTTATCGGCACTTATAATACGATGTTTTAAGGAAGATTGTATATTCGTAGAACACAAGTTTTTTTTTAAATAATAAGAAAGTCAAATAATTAATGTAGGTAAGAACTAATAATGAACCTATTAAGCATTTTAGAAATGAGAACGAGTTACACTTTTACATTATACTCTTACATTTTCAAATTTTCTATCTCCTTTTGTCAAAACTACGGTCGTATAAAAGCATTCATTATGGAAAGAAACCCTGTTTTCCAACCGTGAGGTAATTACGAAAGAAATCATTTTCGGACAACAAATCTTTATTTCGAATACCTATGATTATATAAAAATAAATAAAAGTAATATTTTTCTAACGGATTGAAGTGTGGAAATGGGAATTGTGTTAAAAGCTCACGTAAGATTACAAGATTCGCCGAGACTGATATCTCATTAACTGAAAACTTTATTGATTCATAATTTGCGTCTGTTGTGGATTTTTAATTCGAAAATCAATTTTATTTGGTGAGAATAAATGGTTCATGTATGTGCGTGTCATGGTAAGTGTTCAAGGTACGAGACACTAATACTTACGAGGAAGCATTAAGTATCTTAATAGAACGATGATTTTCTACCCACTACCCGCTTTATTAAAAGGAGCATCTAAAACACCTACGGCGTTGCAGATGCGCTGCTCCTTACTGCAAAAAGGCAACACTCTGTAAGTGTTGCCAGTTTACGCCCGCAACCTGGATTCAATAAACCAAAGTAAATAGGGACGTCGATATTTCCGCACGGCGGTGATGTTGGCCGCTTATTTTAGTGGATAGAGCGTCTGCATGCGTAATCTGGATGCGTCATCTTTTCGGTCGGCTAAAATTTTGCGACACATCTATATAGTTTTCAAGTCCAGAGACTAGTAATAAGAATTAAAAATTGAATATAAATATTAAAATTAGCAATCCAGCTGAATTTAAGCATTTTTTTTCTTTGGAATGTTTTTCGTGTAAAATAATACATTTTCTTAATAAAAAGGAGTAGAATATTTGGAGACTTAAATACAGGGGAAGTAAATCCATTATTTATACCAAGATATGCGCGATGCATTAAATTTTTTATAAGGATTATTTATTATTTCTTTAAAGAATTAAATATTGAATGATTATAAGATAATTTTTAATAAAAGAAAGAACAACTTTGTCGGAACGTGTGTGAGCTTTTGCGATACGGGGATAAAGGATAGAACTATAAAAATATGAACTAATGATAATGTTTATTTTTATCTTATAATTTATTAAAACTAAAGGATTATTCAATATCTATTAATTTAGTCATCAGTGCGACAGGTTTGTGGTGCGGTTGTGACACTCATAAGACAATATATACTGAAATACTGAATAGGTGACACTAAAAGTCGTCAAAAGTATAATAACTAGAATATTTCTGTCTCATTGAACAACGAAAATGAGTGTTTTATCTCTGCGATGTGATGACATTAGATGTTGTCTGAGAAACAACGATGTGCATCGATGTCAAAAATTACCGCCAACGCCCAAGCATAATAAAAAGCTGAATACGATGTCATCATCAACTGTGGATGGGCCACGCAGCTGTCGTTGCTCTTGCACGTTTGGGCAGGCTCGTCAGGAAAAGTACAACGACTTCGCATAGACCGGCGCGAAGTGGAAGTTTTATACTTCTGCGGTAGGTAATCCGGGCCCGCTATATTACAGGGCGGCTCTACGGGTGTTGCAGACGTCAATGGCCGGCGGTTATGATTAAACATCAGAAGAAAGGCAAGACCTCTTGCCACTTTCTTGCATAAAAAAGTCCAGACGGAAGCTGATTTCATGTTGACAGTGTAACATTTTAAAATAATAAAAAAGGCGGTAAATTGTTGTTCAATTTAATTTTATATATATTTGTTGTATTTTTCTCGGAATTTTTGCATTATTGGCTTGTTAATTTATTCACGCTCTTTATGGATTTTGTCAGGTAAAGGACATGGTATGTGGACTTAAAACAGTAGCGCCCGGATTCTGAAACAATGATAATCGTAGAAGTCAACTAATCAGCTGATCAGATCAGAATGATTTTAATGGTCAGAATGATCAATTGAAAGAGTTTAGCAATAATTTTAGCAACTCAAATAACATTTGAAAAGCCATTTGATAGCTGATTAGTTCACTTCTACGATGGTCAGTGTTTCAGAAACCGGGCGTTAATCTGCATTATTCATTATAACTGCATACTTGCATATCTACAATGACACAAAATCCTCTGTACGAATATAGATTGTAGGTACTCTGCGTCGGTCAATATGGCGGGATTGAAAGGCTTAATGCTGCTAATGAATAATTGTATGCATATCCGGCCTGATTTAAGTTAATTTCCAAATCAAATGGAGGATTTTACAAAGAACGAAATCTGACAACCTGAAAAATGAATGACATTGTAACAACCCATTTCACAAGAATATACACTGTGTCAGATGAAGCTTTAATAGTCTCGGGACTGAAAGCAAAAACATCAGTTAATACTAGAAGAATATACTGATAAATTTGTATAATAACAGTTAAAAGATTATAAAACATAACTGTCAATAAAACTTTCCCATAATGAAACAGTAACGGCTAAAGAAAACGGTAAAAGCTTAAAATAATTATTTTATAATTCTAAGTAATGGTTAAGCTATCGACGTAATTACATACCTAATTCTTGAATCATTTGGTATGTGATTGTGTCCTACCCGCAGATTTATTCCTCAAAGTCACGTAATAATTATTCGTAGATAATAAAAGTAAATAAATTAACAAGTTATATTTTTATAGGTCGAGTTTTAGTTAGTATTTCTCTTAAGTAAGTATGCGGGAAAGCAAGCTAGTCCAAAGCATCGTCGTCGGTACACATTGACAAGATTTGAAGAACTAACTTACAATCTTTTCATCGGAATTAAGCTTAATGAATTTTCAAATCTTTGATTGCACAAGTTAAGCCCCCCGTTATCGTTTTTTTTTTATCTTAGGATATTAACATTAAATGATTCATAAAAATTGGGGAATTGCTGAATTTTTACCATTAGGAAAAAAGAGTATTTACTGTTATAACTAACGCACGCATGAGTACATGCGTGGCCCTACCCATTGAGGCATTAAGCCCGTGGGTTCTGGCTAGCCCAGCGGTTCAGCGTTCGATGAAGCTTTAATAGTCTAAGGACTGAAAGCGTAACATCAGTTATACAAAATGAATATTTACTATTAGGGAACTAAGGATGCTAAGGCAGAAATAGTCTTGGTTGGAAAGCCTCTTGTTATTACGAAAAAATGCACTTTTTTGTTGTGTTTGTTATTATCAGGAGAAGGTTCTTTAAAAAAAAATTTAAAAAATTGCTTGAAAAAGTCTACAAACAACACTTTTCTATATTCCCGTACAAAAAGTTCGTAATAATACTTAAAAGTCAATTTGAACTTACCTATACCATAAAGTTTAAGTGTTAGTGGAGAGGTTCCGGGAAGGCAAAACAAGTGAGTGACCGTGGTGAAATGTCACTTGAAATGTAAACGTCTCTTTGCTGTGCTTCACTACATAGTATAAAACAAAGTCGTCCCGCTGTCTGTCTGTCCCTATGTGCGCTTAGATCTTTAAAACTACACAACGGATCTTGATGCGGTTTTTTTTTACTAGATAGAGTGATTCAAGAGGGAGGTTCATATGTATAATACATTGCACCCGTGCGAAGCCGGGGAGGGTCGCTAGTTTATTATAAAAGTGATATGCTTTGTTACATTTCGTTAAAGAACACATCCGTTCGACTGCCACTTGGCATGTTCCTGTCTTGGGGCAATACTCGAAATGAAATATTTTTAGATCCATTAGACGGAGAGCATCCTGTCTGGAGCCAGACTGAAACTTATTGTTTATTAATCTGTGAGCAAGTTTTAGGTGGAAATAGGAATTTATTATTTATTGCAAATTGTCTATTTGCTTACTGGACGTACTGTAAATTATTTGTTAATAAAGTAAATAA